TTTGAGTTTGAAATGTTTTCAAATGTGTCGCAAAGCACAAAAAGCGTGACATCACGACTGTGTTTACATACTATTATCTGAATTCATCAGTTTTTTAATAGGAGGCACATATTTGATCGTCATTTTGAAAATTTTTGCGATAAGCTTGCCTCGTGCATAGGTGTTTTGAGTAAAATCAGAACCTTGATCTCACCTCAACAGCGATTCTTGTTCTACAATGCCATTATTCGCCCAATAATGAGTTATGCTGACGTGATTTGGTCATCATGTGACAAGGAACCACTTTACAGAGTCTTGAAATTACAGAAGCGTGCGGCTAGAATCATTTTATATGCCGTCCGCCTAACACCCTCTGTGACACTTTTTTATAAGCTGGGATGAATACCTTTTTATGAACAGAGTAAAATTGTGCTATTTTTTATATGAGCGTAAATGGCTCTCTTCCAAACTATCTCAATGAACACTTAACGATTAACAATACACAACATAACAGAAGCACGCGGTGTGCTAGCTATAATTCTATGTGTCCCTATTATAAGCGTGACACTGAAGGAGGCCGTTCTTTTGCTGTAACAATACTTTGGAATAATGTGCCTCTAAATATCAGAAAATCAGACTCCGTTAAGTCTTCAAAAACTCATTTATTTAAAACGATTTTCGCAGCCCAGCAACATTTGGACCATTTTAGGGTTTAACTCTTACATCTGTTTATATCTATATTTTACGGAAGTTTTAATATTATTGTAATTCAACTATTCGCGTCTCTCATGAATTTAGGTTTTTAACTTTTATTATATTATATTTGTATTCATAGTTTGTAACTTTATTTTCTGAGGGCCACAAATAAATAAGTAAATACAAATAAGCCTTTGGATATTAAGTGTTAACCCTCTTTAAATAAAGTCTTTATTATTATTATTATTGTTATTATTATTATCGCAATCATTTCATAATAAAGTATGTTGATTACCTTTTCATAACTTTTGAGGGCGGAGACTGACGAGCAAATATTTGAATGAGCTTTTTCGATAAGTGTTATGGGTTAACAAACTTTACCCTTACCTGAGTACACACTAGCAGTCTGATGGGCACCAGTTC